TGGAGATCCCCTGAAATTACAACTGATCTCCAGCTGAAAGACAGCAGTCCCCCTGGAGAAAATGGCCGCTTTGGAAAGTGGGCTCTATGGCATTATATGCCAGTGGGGTCCTTCCCCTTCCCAAACTCTACCCTCACCAGGCTCCGCCCCAAAATCTCCAGGAATTTCCCAAACAAGTGCTGGCAAACCTACAACCCCACCCCCCCGAATATTAAAAACTGCTCATACTGCATACACAGCAAAAGAGAGAGTTTAAAAATTTCAATCAGGAGAAAGGAAAGGATAATTAAAATATAAAAAGGGTTTATAAAAAGACAGAAAGAACACGTTACGGGAACATTTCAAATCAGCCCAAGGAAACGAAGGCATAGTAAAAGCTGACTACCAATACGATTTTGGGTATTATGGAGAAATGTTACAGAGAGGACAGGGATGAATTATTCACACTAGTTAGAGAGGATGGAAAGAGAAGTACTGACGGTGCCCTCGTTTCTGCAGCTTATGTGAAACACGACAGAGGCCATGGGAACCCGTATGCCAGACCCCACTCAAGTTGGGTAGCCCTGGGCGAGTTCTCGTGACCGTCAGCCCATCGGCTGGAACAGAATGACAGCATCTGGCCAAAGGAGGCCTGTGACATCTTAACTTTTAAATGAAACATACTCCCGTAAAATTCTGTCTTCTACTGAACCACTGCTACAAACTCTCCAATATCTCTTTGGGCGTCACCCTTTAGAACTTCCTAATACGTCGACTCTTGGAATACTTTTTGTACCCTAGATCCAGGTGGGCAGCCAGGTTGGTCTGAAGCAGCAGGACAATGTTTGAGTCCAGTGGCACCTTTCAGACCAACAAAGGTTTATTCAAGCTTTCATGTGCATGTAGACTTCAGATATTTCTATTTCCATTTCATTGTATCTGAAGAAAGCTCGTACCTTGAATAAACCTTTGTTGGTCCTAAAGGTGCCACTGGACTCAACATTTGTTTTTGTCCCCTAGTAAGGATGCCAGTAAGGAGCTGCAGTGGCGCAAGTGGTTAATGACGCTGAACTGCAGGCTGTGGAAGGTCAGTAGTTCAGCAGTTCGAGACCCGGGTGCCGCATGATGGAGTGAGCTCCCATCTCTACTTCCAGCTCCTGCCGACCTAGCAGTTCGAAAGCAAGAAATTGCAAGTAGATAAATAGGTACCACTTCGGTGGGAAGGTAACAGCATTCCGTGCGCCTTGGTGTTTAGTCATGCCGGCCACATGACCACGGAAACGTCTTCGGACAGCGCTGGCTCTTCGGCTTTGAAACGGAGATGAGCACCGCAACCCTAGATTCAGACTCGACTGGCTTTCGAGCAAGGGAACCTTTACCTTTTTAAGGATGCCAGAGTACAATGTATGCTGACTTCAAAAGGAAAACAATAAAGCTCAATACCAGTGTTACCTAACCCTTTGTAAGCCAAAATGGATGTATAATATAAACCATGATCTTCATAGGAGGGGGGGGGGGAAATGTCATGTAGCCCTCAAAGAGCAGTTCTTCTGTGTCTCTCCAGCACTGCCCCGCAATAGTTATTTCTAGAGCCACTGTGTGTAATGCTTAAGAGTGCTGGACTAGTATCTGGGAGACCTGGGTTCGAATCCCAACTCGTGCCATGGACGTTTGCTGGGTGATCTTGGGCCAGTCATACTCTCTCACCCTAACCTACCTGCCAGGGTTGTTGTGAGGGTAAAATGGAGGAGAGGGAGAAGAGACGAAGAGATCAGGTTTATACTCTGCCCTTCAGTACCCGAAGGAGTCTCAGAGCAGTTTATAATCTCTCCCCTCATCAGGAACCCTGTGAGGTAGGTGGGGCTGAGAGAGCTCTGAAAGAATTTATGACTGACCCAAGGTCACACCAGCTGCTGCATGTGGAGAAGTGGGGAATCAAACCCTGTTCTCCCAGATTAGAGTCCGTGCTCCTAACTACTACACCAAACTGGACAAGGCTGTGTCACTGGGGAGAAAAGCTGGGTACAAATGAATTAAATAAATAAATAGATATTGTTAAATATAGAAGAAAAGATGGGATATATTATATCTCAGGATCTTTAGGTGATTTCTGGGTTACCTCACCTGAATGCTAGAAGGTTATTATTTCAACTTCTGATTTAGGGCCTGTGATGCAAAGACTTATCATGCAAAAGCTAACGCTGCATCTTGTCCTAGGCAAGTGCAGCTCTGTATTGGTTCGGACTGAAAATCTCCCGATGCTTCCCCATCATGGTGCTTTAATCTTTCACTGGTGCAATCTTGTGCAGATTCTCGGGCAGTCAAACTGTCCCTATTGCTTTTAGTATGCAGTTGAAAATACCATGCTAGTTTCATTGCCCTCTTTGCCCCTTGATTAAAAAATAAAGTTATATAGTGGAGCTGTGTTGGGCAGGGGTCTTCCTGACGCTTCAAACACTCGCTGGGAAAGCCGCTGCTGCCCTAATGCACTTCCTGCTCTGCAAGAGGGGGGGGGTTAAAGGTCATCTTTCTCTGCTTCTAGGAGCCCAGCTCTCTGATCTCTGCTGTCACTTTGCAGTAAAGCAAAGAACTTGCCTCTTATGTAATTAGTTCCAGTTCCACAATCCCAGGAGCTCTGCTGAAGAGCAGTATTTTCTCCCCCAAAAGATGGTTTCCTGTTCCCAAAGGACTTTCAGTCTAAGAAACTGAGGCTGGGGATCAAAGGAAAGAACAGAATTAAAGATAGAGATGACCTTTATGTAGGCACAAAGATGGCTAAGCACTTCCCAAGTTCTGAGAATACCAAGCTCCCTGTGTTCCTTTTCACTCCTCTTTAATGGTTCCGCATCCCTCCTGCCTGGCATCCTCAGCCCCAAGTACAAGGGTATTAAAGACAACAAAGGCAAACCTTGTTACAGCCCACCCACGGTGCTCCTTACAAAATCACTTGCATGTCCTCGAGTGAACCCTGAGATCTGGTGCTTGTCTAAATGTGGAAAGTATCAACCTACCCACTTACCAGCCTAAATTGGCGGTGCACCAGAAAACGTTGTGCTGCAGTGAGACTGCAATTAAAAACAGAAACCAACCAGCCACCCCCAGGATCCACGACACTGGTCGACCTGGCCCACAGTGAAGGGGTCCCATGAGCGCATAGAGCAGCACCATGTCGACACTTTGCCAAGAAATAATAAAAATTGCTCCATGTAATTATAAACATGGAATGTCTGTGAATCTCTCTCTCTCTCTCTCCCCCCCCGTCTCTTTTAAGCAAGTTTGGCTCTCTGACCTCTCTTTTCATTCACTATGTATTAACAACCATGTTCACACCAGTTCCTTACACAGGCCCTTTCTGCACCCGTGTTTTCCCTCGGTTTCTGAGCGCATCCTATTCTCCTGTTCTGCATTCCCTCCCACTTTCACTTCCAGTTTGAGTCGGGGCTTTTTCTTGTTTCTGCATTTGTTTTACAGGAATTTGCATTCAGACCGCTTCCAGCACACTGTTGCCCCGCCGTTACCAAAACTCCTTTTGCTGCGATTCTTTGTTCTCATCTGCTTTTGAGATGCTAATCCTTTCTAAAGTAGAACTGTTTCTGTGGGTATTTAAGCGCTGCTCGCTGTCTTCTCCTGTTTCCGTCTCTCTCTCTTTAGGTGGACGCTCCCTCCCTGTTCTGTCTTCTTTCCCTCCTTCTCCAAAGACAGAAGAGGATGTGTCTTCCTGCTCAGGCAAACTTTTAAAAAGCCAGAGAGAGCATAAGAAGGAATTAGTAAATATGAAGGACTGGGGGATTCCCTGCTCCCAAATGTGTCGGTCTTGCATGTGTGTGCCTGGATTTTCCCCTCCCTTCCCTTTCTTTTTGCAGAATCACAGAGGGAGGGAGGGAGTAGGGTTGCCAAGTGGCACTTACCTCCTCCATGGGGGACTCCCGGGCGGCTCCCGGTGTACAATATACAAACTAGGAAGTGACGTTATGACACCGGGCACGCTGGGGGCGGGACCACGACCATACAAGGGAAAACCATAGAGTTTTCCCTTGTATGGCTGTGACCCCGCCCCCAGCGTGCCCAGCATCATAGCATCACTTCCTGGTGACGCACACGCCAGGGCGGGGATCCCCCCGGGGCCCGATTCCCCGGCGTCGGGGAACGGGCCTCTGGGGCGGGGGTTTCCCCGCCCCCCAGGGCGACTTGGCAACCCTAGGAGGGAGGTTGGTCTGCAGTTAAAAGATGTTTGCCTTTCTCTTCAGCTTAGACAAAGCAGCCAGTTAGCTGAAAAAATGCGGGTTTCGCTTGTAGATGCATACCGAATAGACAAATAAATAAACCGGAGGGGGAAAAACCATTGCAGAAGGAATGTGTCCGATTGCGAAGTCAACCCTTAAGGCCTGACTCCTCAGATTCCTTGGAGCAAGCTGTCAGTGCAGAAAGGGCCATAGTTTCATTTTTCAAAGGGTTTACTGCAGACCCGTCTCCGCTGCAATGCCTTCTCTTTCCCCTTTCCCCTATTTGTAAGTTTGGTCCACGCAAACGATGATATATTCCACGAAGCTCAGGGTGCAATAAAATGGTTATTTCTTAAGATGCCACAGGGAAAATTAGAGTTGCCAGTCTCCAGGTGGCAGCTGGAGATCTCCTGGAATTACAACTGGTTCCTAGGTGACAGCGATCAGTTCCCCTAGAGAAAATGGCTGCTTCGGAAGGTGGACTCTATGCTATTGCACCCCACTGAGGTCCCTCCCCTCCCCAAACTCCTCCCTCCTCAAGCACCCCCCCCCAAATCTCCAGGAATTTCCCAACCCAGAGCTGGCAACCCTACACAAGATTCCTGTTTACTGGAGGAGGCCGATCACATGGAATAATCTACTTTACGTGATTCCTTCTTTTTAGATGACTGATGGAATCAGAAGAATTCAAGCCCTCGTATGTGTATTAAAGTGTAGAGAATTTTCATACTTAATTCTGTACGTCATAGTATTGGAGATATAATTTTGTTTGTTTTCTCCTAATGCTCTGGTTTCCAGCAAAAAAGAACAGAGAGATGACGTTTGAAGGATTTCTCAGATACATGAGCTCTGAGGACTGTGCGCTATTTAAAAAAGAACATCGAGTGGTTTACCAGGATATGACCCGTCCATTATGTGAATACTTTATTGCATCCTCGCATAACACCTACCTCATATCTGACCAGCTAATAGGGCCAAGTCACCTGTGGGGCTATGCCAGGTATTTGCCTCCATTTTAAAAAAATAATTAAATAAGAGATAGTTAATGTAGGTAAGCTAGGAAATGGCTTTTCCTATATTTTATTCCATTTATGAAACCTGAAAAAGGAAACGATTTTAAAATATTAATTTAAAAAATTGTGACTTGCTCAAAAAGAAAAGCAGAAAAGAAAGTTGGACTGGTTTTAATTTTGTTGACACACTGTCATGTTTGTAACCTGCCTCCTTAGTCAACTATAGGATTGCCAGGTCCCCCATCGCCACTGGGTGGGGGGGCCGGGTGGGAGGGCTGCCAGGTCCAGGTGGGGAAACTCCTGGAGATTTGGGGGTGGAGCCTGGGGAGGACAGGGACCTCAGTGGAGTACAATGGCACAGAGCCCACTCTCCAAAGCATCCATTTTCTCAGGGGAACTGATCCTTGTTGCCTGGAGATCAGTTGTAACAGCAGGAGATCTCCAGTCACCACCTGGAGGCTGGCAACCCTCCTACCCAAACCCCGCCCTCCTCAGGCTCCACCCACAAAATCTCCAGGTCTTTCTCAGCCCACGGTGGGCAGCCCTATTGATATGGTACCACAGCCAAGGCTGGTGATGTATCTTATCCTCTTAATGGAAGCAAATCATTTTGGAAGACTATCACCCCCCTCCTCGGAGTATTCCCATGGCAGAACTGGTTAGGCCATGGGATTTGAGGAATGGAGGAACCTCAGTAAGGTATAATGCCACATAGTCCAATCTCCAAAGCAGCCATTTTCTCCAGGGGATGTTGGGGGGCTGATCTCTGTAGTCTCACTGCCCCCTGTATATGGCAACAGTGGGAGGGCTTCTGGTGTCCTGGCCCCACTGGTGGACCTCCTGATGGCACCTGGTATTTTTGGCCACTGTGTGACAGAGTGTTGGACTGGATGGGCCACTGGTCTGATCCAGCACTGGCTTCTCTGATGTTCTTATAAGAGGGAATTGGATAAACATATGGAGCACCAGTGGCTCTTAGCCACAAGGTATAGACAGGAACTCTCAGTCTGGGGCAAGTGATGCTCTGTATTCTTGGGGCTTGGGGGGGCAGAAGTGATGTGGTAGCCTTTCACATTAATTTGTGAAATTAATTTGTGAAATCAAAAGAAGTTCCATAGGAAGATTAATTTGTTGTCGTACTGTTGGTTCCCTTGAACGTTTGTGATGGTACACCAATATCCTGTGTAGCTGTTCTTTTTTGGTAACTGGAGATTATGATTGAAGTTTACTGTATGTGAAGACGTCTTACCAAAGTATGAGTTTGTGCATATTACTATCTCATGCTGTGTCAATGTTAAATAAAAAGTAATACTGAAAACCAGAAGTCATTAAACTCTTAGTATTATTTGACAATACCATCATACAACAGACATCCACCACTCTCCAATATTATATGCTTGTAAATTATATGAAACATACACTCAAATATGCAAGGGAAACTGAACTCAGTAACATGTAAGCTAGTGTGAAGTGTCTGGAATACTGCAGTGAAAGAATCAAGAGAATATCTTGTTGAGTGCAGGAGAAAATGCGATTTTAAACACTTGTGAAAGTACCTTGCAACTGCAGAGTTCAAGGAATGTTATGACTACATGTGGTGACGTCAGAGCCTGGTGTTCAGGCTTTCCAATACAGGGGGCAGTGGTAGTCTGGTGCAATGTTCCCTCTAAGCTGTGGAGTCTTGTGAGCAAAAATTCTATTCTCCCTCTGAGGTGGAGGCCATCTTGTGGGTGATTTCCATCCATCAATCAGGGAGGCAGGAACCAAAAAACAACTTCCTGTTTCCTGTGGTGGGGGTCACCCCAGGCTCAGTTTCTTTCCTGCCTCAAAGGGAGAACAGCTTGTTAGGTTACAGCTAACAAACTTAGTTATTCTGTTACTAGTTCTCTTACTTTTACTATTATTCTTACTGTTATTCTTACTATACTATCCTATTCCTACTATACTATACGGGTTCTTTTTATCCCTACTGCCAAAAGGCTTAATAAAATTGCTGCATGCTGAAAGGTACATAAAGAAGGGTTGCCAACATCCACACCTGCTCACAACTTTAATGCCAGTAGCTCACAAAGTAGGATTTTTGCTCATGGGACGCCACAGCTTAGAGGGAACATTGCTGGAGCCCTCCTTCCTGAGTGGAGACAAAAATGTGTGAGCTGGAGGCAAAAAAACTGTGAGCCAGCTCATGCTAACTCAGCTTAGAGGGAACACTGGTCTGGAGATCAACTGTAATTCCAGGAGAGCTCCAGGCCCTACCTGGACGTTGGCAACCCTTCTTTATGTACCTTTCAGCATGCAGCAATTTTATTAAGCCTTTTGGCAGTAAGGATAAAAAGAACCCGTGTGGTATGGAGGTTATCATCATAGAATCACTGAGTTGGCAGGGGCCACACAGGCCATCTAGTCCAACCCTCTGCTCAATGCAGGATCAGCCTGAAGCATCCCTGACAAGGGTTTGTCCAGCCACTGCTTAAAGACTGCCAGCGAGGGGGAGCTCAACTAGGGCTGCCAAATGCAGCCGGGGGGCGGGGAATCCCCCGTTTTGGAGCCCCGATTCCCGGCGCGCCGGAATCGGGGCCCGGGGAAACCCCACCCCCGCGTGCGCGTCACCCGGAAGTGACGTCGCACGCTGGGGGCGGAGCCACGCCGTTTGAGGGGAAAACAAAGAGTTTTCCCCTCAAATGGCAGCCAAATGGATGCTTTGGAGAGTGGGCTCTGTGCCATTGTACTCCACTGTGGTCCCTGTCCTCCCCAGGCTCCACCTCCAAATCACATTCGCTCTCAGCCTAACCTATCTCACAGGGCTGTTGTTTGTATGAATAAAATGGAGGAGGCTATAAACCACTTCGGGTCTGTAATGGGAGGAAAAAAACAGCATATAAATACCTAAATAAGTAAATAATATAAAAAATCTGGACAGCCCTCCTTGTGGTATAGCCCTTCAGTACTGCAGAATGCTTACAGGGGTGAGTCCTTACCTCAGTTTGGTGCAGTGGTTAGGAGTGCGGACTCTAATCTGGGAGAACGGGGTTTAATTCCCCACTCCTCCACATGCAGCTGCTGGTGTGACCTTGGGTCAGTCATAAATTCTTTCAGAGCTGTTCTCTCCAGGGCAGTCCTCGAGAGAGCTCTCTCAGCCTCACCTACTTCACAGGGTGTGTGTTGTGGGGAGGGGAAGGGAAAGGGGATCGTAAGCCACTCTGAGACCCCTTTGGGTAATGAAGGGCAGGGTATAAATCCAATCTCCTCCTCCTGGATTTTCCTTCCACGTGGGAAACGCATTTTTGTAGGGTCGCCAGCTCTTAGTGGGGAAACACCTGGCGATAGAGCCTGGGGAGGGTGGGGTTTGGGAAGAGAAGGAACCTCAGCAGACCGCAATGCCACAGAGTCCACTCACCAAGGCAGCCATTGTCCACCAGAAGAACTGATCTCTGTCACCTGGGGATCAATTGAGGGGAAAGCCTTGCACTTTAGACTTCTCCTTAATCCTTAGGTATATTTTGGACCACACAACTGATATCCTAATTGAACATTTTCATGACAGGGCTGTACCACATCATCCTGGAATCTGTTCTCATAGAGTAGCAACTTTTAGAGAAGTTATTCCTTTGCTCTTCTTCCCCCCCCCCCACCTTCTTGATGATTTTTTAAAGTGCGCTAATGAAAGGCTGCCGTTGCTTGGAGATCGACTGCTGGGATGGTTCGAACGACGATCCAGTCGTTTATCACGGACACACGTTAACGAGCAAAATCAGTTTTAAGACGGTCATCCAGGTGATCAGCAAGTATGCCTTTCTGGTAAGTCCTTCTATGATAAATGGGTTAGGTGTTACAACGGGGTGGTAGCTGGTGTCTTTCAGGCATTAGCTGTTTTGGTGATGTTTGCTGGGAAAATTGAATGGAAATGAATGAGAGCACCATAGAGCTGGAAGGAATCACAAGGCATCTAGTCCAGGGGTGTCGAACTCATTTGTTATGAGGGCTGGATCTGACACAAATGAGACTTTGTTGGGCCGGGCCATGTGTGTCATAAAATGTAATGCCATGTAGCGGAGATATACACTTGATAAAGGACACAAACACAAAGGGTTTTTTTTATTTAGAATAAAAACATGCTTAAAACATTAGCACTCCTGCAATATTTTATTTATTTAACGGTGTCTGATAACTGACACCTCTTGTTCTGAATTATTGCATCAAAATGTCTGTGCTGTTGCAATCTTGAGTATGCTGTTCAGGTGTGTATCTGTAAGCTGCAAACCTACGATGACGCAGCAGCAGCAGAACTGGAAGAAGAAGCAGAAGACAGCCAGTTCAACTGTGGGCCTGATAGAAACCCTCCGAGGGCCTCATCTGGCCCCCGGGCCACATGCTTGACACCCCTGATCTAGTCCATCTAGGCTTGCCAGTTGAGGGTTGGGAAATACCTGGAGATTTTGGAGGTGGAGCATGAGGAGGGTGGGGTTTGGGGAAGGGAGGGACCTCAGCGGGATATAATGCCATCGAGTCCACCTTCCAAAGTAGCCATTTTCTCCAGGGGAACAGATCTCCAGTTGCCCGGAGATCAGTTGTAATCATGGGATATCTCCAGATACCACCTGGAGGCTGGCAACCCTAAGTCGCTACATGCCCATCCGCCAATCTCCCCCAGAATCAGGAAATTCAGGCAGCAAGATGCAGCAATGCACAAAGCTTTGGATAGGGCAGACCTGGCTTCACATCCCTGCTCAAATTGGCATCCGGGATGGGTAGTGAGTGGCACCCTAGGACCCAGTGGGAGGAGCTCTGCAGGGAGGAGCCAGAATGTTAGCAAAGGAAAATCTACAGAGTCCTCTAGTTGTAGGGCTGGCCCTTAGAATGCCACCGTGAAATGCTACTGGTTGGGATGGGAGGCTCCCACAAATAGCTTGGGGGGGAGGAGTCGGAAGTCTGCCGCAGGAGTGGACAATCAGCAACAATCACACACACCCCCAACACACACATGGATTGCCAGCTCCAGGCTGGGGAATACTTGGAGATTTTGGGGTGGGTGGGTTGGGGAGGGCAGGGCTTGGGGAGGGAAGTGACTTCATTGGGGTATAACCAATGCTCCCTCTAAGCTGTGGAGCCTTGTGAGCAAAAATTCTACTTTGTGAGCTACTAGCATTAAAGCTGTGAGCGAGCAATTTGGCTGCTGCATAAATGAGTTTGCTCCGGAGCCAAAAATGTGAGAGCTGGAGTCTAAAAAACTGTGAGCTAGCTCACACCAACTCAGCTTAGAGGGAACACTGGGTCTAATACCATAAAGCCCATCTTCCAAAGTGGCCATTTTCTCCGTGGCAATTGATGTCTGTCGCCTGGAGATCAGCTGTAATCTCAAGAGATCTCCAACCACGGCCTGGAGATTGGCAACCCTACCCCCAGACATGTGCGTGGAAAGTTTAGAGGGGACCCAACCCATTTTAAACAACTTAAGTTTCACTGTGAAAATGTTGTTCCATTAACCAAATCAAAATACTTTAAATGTTTGTAATTTGGTTTGCAGTCAATAGCATCTCTGTTAGGGTTGCAAGGTCCCCCCGATCACTGGCGAGGGATGAGGAGGTTGGGGTGCCAGGTCCAGGTTGCGAAACTCCTGGAGATTTGGGGGTGGAGCCTGGGGAGGACAGGGACCTCAGTGGGGTACGATGCCACAGAGTCCACCTTCCACATCAGCCCTTTTTCTCCAGGGGAACTGATCTCTGGAGTCTGGAGATGAGCTGTAATTCTGGGGGATCCCCAGGTCCCACCTGGAGGCTGGCATCCCTAGGGTCCATGTTAATGTCTTCTGGGAGGCTGGGTGGAATGTAAATATATGCTTGCAGTGTCATCATCATCATCATCATCATCATCATCATCATCATCATGGCTTTTTTTGTAGCAGAAACTCATTTGCATATTAGGTGACACACCCCTAATGTAGCCAATCCTCCGAGAGCTTACAGAGCTCTTCTTACAGGGGCTACTGTAAGCTTTTAGAGGATTGGCTACATTAAGGGTGTCTCGCCTAATATGCAAAGGAGTTCCTGCTACAAAAAGAGCCCTGAATCATCGTCGTCGTTGTCGTCGTCGTCGTCGTCATCATCATCAATAATAATAATAATAATAATAATAATAATAATAATAATAATACCACCACCACCCAGTCTATAAGGTGCCACGGCGTTGATTTGTATCTTCGCTACACTTTCTTTTTGCAATATTCTTTATTTTAGTTTTGCACACTTCTTATTCACGCACAGGAGTTATAATAGCTTTGAAAATTGTACTTCCAGGCCTCTGATTATCCCGTTATATTGTCTTTGGAGAATCACTGCAGCACCAAACAGCAGGAAGTAATGGCAGATTATATGAAAACTATCCTGGGCGACAGGCTGGTTACTTCTACAATTGATGGCAAGATGCCGACTGAATTACCTTCCCCCGAGGTAACGACATTGATTTCCCCCTCCCCCTCATGCTAAAAATAATAAGGGAGAAATCTTCGTGGTTGGTTTGGTTATCTCCTGGGAATTTTGCTACTCCCCCCTCCCATTAAAACATTGTTATACTTCATTTGATGAAACAGAATTAATCACCCAACTCATGGAAAGCATTCCTTTCAATGTACTGTCATGCGAACAGCAGAGATCCTGTATCCCTATTGAGGAAAAAATGGTGTCTCTAAAGTCTGAAGCATAGAGATGAAGTACAGCACATCCTACTGTACTTTTGCATCTTTTTAGAATCTTCCAATATGATTTATTGCTACCTTAAGTCTGAGGGTGCAAGAAGACCTTCTATTTATCTGCTCTGCGATGTTAATTTTTGCAGTTAAAAACATGCAAATGTGTTAGGAAAGGGCTAACGTGGAAACGGTGCCTTTTTCAAATTCTTCAGGCGTCTCCCAAGAGCCCAGCTTCAGCCCCCTTGACAAATTTTCTCTCGAACCATTCTAAAATTGTTCCTTGAAAACATTTTCCCTGCACACCCACCCAACCCAAACAGCAAGAGAGGAGGGAAACACTGTAGCATCTGAGCTACAGAAGACCCACACATTCTTTTTTTGTGGTGGCTACTGCACTACAAACTATAAGAACAGATCAGAAGAGCCCTGCTGGATCAGATCGATGGTCCATCTAGTCCAGCATTCTGTCTCACACAGTGGCCAACCGGTTCCTCTGGATGGCCTACAGTAGGGGATAGATGCCAAGGCCTTCCTTGATGTTGCCCCCCGGGCTCTGGGATTTCAGAGGATTAGTGCCTCTGAGTGGAGGTTCCCCTCAATCACCATGGCTAGTAGCCATGGATAGATTTATCCTCCTTGAATTTCTCTCTGATCCCCTTTGAAAGCTGTTTATTCCTGTGGCCGTCACTGCATCCTCTGGCAGCAAATTCAACATTTTAATCATTCTCTGTGTAAAGTAAAGGAGTATTTCCTTTTGTCCATCCTGAACCTACTGCCCATCAGTTTCACTGGATGCCCTCGAGTTCTAGTATTTTGGGAGAGGGAGGAAAAAGTTCCCTTTGTCAACTTTCTCCACCCTGTGCCTAATTTTATAAACCTCTATCACGTCCCCCCTGAGTCGTCTCGTTGTCTAAATGGAAAAGTCCCGGACTCTTCAGCCTTTCCTCATAGGGAGCCCTGATCTGGATAGCCCAGGCTAGTCTGATCCCATCAGATCTCAGACTAGCTAAGCATGGTCAGCCTTGGCTAGTGTTTGGAAGGGTGACTTTCAAGGAATACCAGGGACATGACACAGAGGCAGGCAATGGCAAACTGTTGTATGTTAATCTGACAGCAGGAAGATCACTATGATCTAGCTGACAGTTCAGTGACAGCTACCTGTCAGCAGGTGGACAGATAAGCTAGTTCTGACCGGTTATGGCTGTCACTGGACAGTGTGGAGTCACCATGACTCAGCTTGTTGCTGATTGGTGCTGCTATGTATATATGTCTGTACAGAAGCCATGTACGTTCTCTTCGGAGGAAGCAAGCGTCTGGCGAAACACTTTGACTGTAAATTCTGTGAATAAACCCTTGTATATAGTGTACCACTGGACTGTGCAGTGTGGTTACTATAGAGGGGCAGAACAGCAAAGAACTGGTAAGAGCTGGGAGGCTGGAAAGTCTGCTAAGGTGCTGAGTTGGCTTAGACTGGGTGTGGACCGCTACTCACGCTCTGCGCAACACAAACCGCCTCTGAAACGTCTCTTGCCTTAAAAACGATTCTAGCTCGCCGTCTGGTGATGCTCAACGCAAAAACGGCTAGAACTTCTGTCTGCCAGACAACCTTAGGATCTCCTGGCTATTCTACACACAATGCCACACGATAATTATAATTAATTATTCCTCAGAGGGGAAAGTGCTCCAGACCCTAATAATCTTGGTTGCCCCCCACCGTACTTTTTCCGGCTCTGCAGTGCCCTCCTACTTCATGCCCCAGCTATTGCGAACATTATGCAGCGTGAGAGAAACTTCCCTGGAGCTTCCTCCCATGCAGGAGTACTTGGAAGATGTAGTCTTGCCAACCTCCATGTGGCAGCTGGAGATCTCCCACCATTACAATTGATCTTCAGACAACGAAGATCGCCCCCCCCCCGGAGGAAATGGCCGCTTTGGAAGGTGGGCTGTATGGCATTGTACCCTGCTGAGGTCCTCCCATTTCTCAAACCCTGCCCTCTTGAGGCTCCACCCCCCCAAATCTCCAGGTATTTCCCAACCCAGAAGGGGCAGCCCTAAAGTTGGGACTGTGCAAGCGGTTCACTCAAATGAGTCCTTTTTTCCTGCCTGATCATTTATTTACTGCATATAAATCTTTTTTCTTTTGTGGATCTCAAGAGAGCTTGCATAGCTTTTCCAGCTGCTCTGCCATCCAGGTGTGGACCAGATCCAGGCAAGGGTTGCCAGTTGGGGAATTCCTGGAGATTTGAGGGGGGAGTCTGGCGGGGGGAGACTTTGGGGATAGGAAAGGCCTCAGCGGGGTATAATGCCAAGCAGCCATTTTCTCCAGGAGGACTGGTCTCTATTGTCTGGACACCAGATGTAATTCCAGGGGATCTCCACTGAGAGGCTGACAAACCTAGATCCAGCCCTGCTTAGCTTGCTCCAGGTTGGTGTATCATGTGCTCTAACCAGATCTTGGGATCATTGCCCAGCTAGGAGGGAGACTGATAACTGGGTGTAAATACGTGTATGGTTGGCTTTGTCCCACCTCCAGACCTCACCGTGGTGATTTACAAGAACCTCAAGGAAGTAGCAAAGTCAGAAGGTGCCCTAACCCCCATGAATGTAAATGGTAACAGCTGGGTTAGTTTTACTATTATAGTACAAGCTTTGGTGTAGTGGTTAAGTGTGCGGACTCTAATCTGGGAGAACCGGGTTTGATTCCCCACTCCTCCACTTGCACCTGCTGATGTGACCTTGGGTCAGTCACAAGCTCTGGCACAGCTGTCCTTGAAAAAGAGCCGTTTGTGTGAGAGTTCTCTCAGCCCCATCCACCTCACGGGGTGTCTGTTGTGGGGAGGGGAAGGGAAAGGAGTTTGTAAGCCGCTCTGAGACTCCAAGTGAAGGGCGGGGTATAAATCCAATCTCAATCTCCTCCTCCTCCTCCTCCTCCTCCTCCTCTTCTTCTTCTTCTTCTTCTTCTTCTTCTTCTTCTTCTTCTTCTTCTTCTTCTTCTTCTTCTTCTTCTTCTTCTTCTTCTTCTCTTTCTTTTTTTAAACCCCTGTTATTACACTGTGTGCTAAGGAATATCTCTTAACTAAAAATTGGGCGGCAGGGGCGAATAGAGAGGTCCTCTGTTGCAGCAGTGCCCTACTGCAGTGCTTTTCGTGGGTTATCACTGCCGATTCTTCTTGTCCATCCCAGATATTTGGTATGTAGAAAAGCTTGGGATGGAAGACGGCATGGTACGGCCCAGTCTCGTCAGATCTCGAAACCTGAGCAGGGTCAGTAACTGGAAGGGAGATCATCAAGGAAGTATCTGTGGAGGAAGGCAATGGCAGACCACCTCTGCTTCTCACTTGATCTGAAAGCCCCTTACTGGGGTCTTTGTATGTTGGAAGCTAAGCAGGGGTAACACTTGGATGGGAGACCACCAAGGAAGGCTCTGCAGAGGAAGGCCATGGCAAACCACCTCTGCTTCTCAGCTGCCTCAAGAGCTCTCTGCTGGGGTCGCCAAAAGTCAGCTGCGACTCAACTGGACTTTACACACATGCAGAAAAAGCTTGTGAGACATATCTGGTTTCAAGGATATCCTTATAATGTTCCTAGTGAACTGTCTAACTGAAAGAAGAAGCGGGAATTAAGATTGCTGGGGAAAAGATCAACAACCTCAGATATGCAGACGATACCACTCTAATGGCAGAAAGTGAAGAGGACCTAAAGAGCCTCTTGCTCAGGGTAAAAGAGGAGAGCGCAAAAGTGGGCTTGAAGCTCAACATCAAAAAAACTAAGATCATGGCATCCGGCCCCATTACTCCTTGGCAAATAGAAGGGGAAGTCATGGAAGTAGTGACAGACTTCACGTTCCTGGGATCCCAGATCACCGCAGACTGTGACTGCAGCCATGAAATTAAAAGACGCCTGTTCCTTGGGAGGAAAGTGATGGCAAACCTAGACAGCATAATAAAAAGTAGAGACATCACCCTGCCAACAAAAGTCCGCATGGTCTTCCCAGTAGTCATGTATGGCTGCGAGAGTTGGACTATAAGGAAGGCCGAGCACCGAAGAATAGATTCTTTTGAACTATGGTGCTGGAGAAGACTCTTGAGAGTCCCTTGGACTGCAAGAAGATCAAATCAGTCAATCCTAAAAGAAATCAACCCTGACTGTTCCCTGGAAGGCCAGATAATGAAACTGAAGCTCAAATACTTTGGCCACCAAATGAGAAGGGAGCACTCACTGGAGAAGACCCTGATGCTGGGAAAGATTGAAGGTCAAAGAAGATGGGGACGGCAAAGGATGAGATGGTTAGACAGTGTCATCGATGCAATGAACATGAAATTGAGCCAACTTCAGAGGACGGCGGAAGACAGAAGGGCCTGGCGGGAGCTGGTCCATGGGGTCGCGAAGAGTCGGACTCGACTGTGCGACTGAACAACAACAAGTGAACTTGTGGGCTTGTTCACAGGTGCAGCCCCACCGCCAAATTTTCTTGGGCTCATATGTGCCCACATTCATATGGAAAAACCAATCTGTGATCTGGACAAGTGTGCCTAAGTGGTTGTATGCAATGGCTGTGGCTGCTGCAATTGCAGCAAACATTGGTGAAACCACCCTGATCAACACAGTCACACAAAGCAGCGACATTAGGTGTACTTCTGTTTCTGGGATTCATGCTACTTACTTCTCACAAAAAAAGGGCAAATGAGGGTCTGAGGATCTTCACAGCATCATTGGGCATGGCTTCGAGCCCAATGACTAGGATTGTCAGCTGCAGATTGGGGAACAGGTGGAGATTTTAGGGGTGGAGCCTCGGGAGGGTGGGATTTGGGGAGAACAGGGACTTTAGTGGGGTAGAATGCTGGTGTTATAATTTGTGGTCCTTAATTCCAATTATTTTTCTTATTACAGGCCTTAAAATTCAAAATAATCATCAAAAATAAGAAACTTGGGACACCCGAAGAAACTCTCGAACGAACGGGCACAGACATCCACGGTCAGACCGGGGAATTCGAGGAGCTGCAAACCTCGGATGATGAAGTCGATGACGAACCTTCCGCCAAGAAGCCCTTGCTTAAAAAGAGACAGGCATCTTGGAAAGGGGCAGGTCCTCCCCGGAAGAAACAAAAAGTAAGTATGGCTTTTGTGAAAGGAAGGTTCTGAACCTCAGGGATCCTCCTGAATGAAAGAAACCTCCAGGGAGGACGATCTGAATGTTCCAGGAATTTTCTTCTTCAACTATGAATTCATCAGTTTGTGACGCTCCATTTACGCCCACATGCTGACTGGAAGTGTGACAGCAAGCCCTCTTGGCAAATCCATCAGTCCCGGAGCCGGGGCTTTTGGGGATGAGGCAGTCCCTTCTTCTTGGAAATCTCCTCCCTGAGGAGCTATGGAAGACCTCATCCCGCTTGATGTTTCGCTAGGGTGGAGGACTTTTTAAATTTCCTCTAGCATCAGGTGAAAATGGGAGCTGCTTTGTAAATGGGACACAGTGTTGTTGCTGTGCTTGACACTGTGACTTAACTATTCTACTGAGTGAATTTTTGTTGTGAAAATATCATCTCAGAGCTTCTGACTGCTCGACTGCTCATAAACAGATACATCACATATGACTTATGAATAGGATGGTAGACAGGGGTCATTTCGTAGAAAAAGAGCTAGGGGAACTCATTAGCATAACTCATTAGCATATGCCACACCCCCTGACATCAGGGGCCCGGCGGTGGACCTGCAAGGCCGGTGGGAGTGCGAGGAAGCCCCGCAAAGGCCCTCCCTGGCCCCAGGCAGGCAGGGGTGGGGAGAGGCGGGGAGGAAGCAACTTACCCTCCCTCTTCTCCTGCCTCCTCCTGGCTGAATGAGGGCTGGAAGCGGGGCGGCCGGAAGCAGGGGGCGGGGCTTCATGTGCCCCGCCCCCTGCACCTCACCAGGGGGAACTGTGTTCCCCCGCGTTCCCCCCCGAAATGACCTCTGATGGTAGAAAAGAGCAGGAGTCCAGTAGCACCTTGACTAACAAAATATGTGCCGGGATATGAGTTTTTTTGAGTCATGGGCCCTGTTCACACGAGGCGTTTTGGGCCGGGAGAGGGACAGATCGGGGCCGCATCAAACGGGCGCGATCACACAGCAACATCTGGCAATCGTGCCGTGGCCGTCCCCGATCCGTCCCAACCGCCCGAAACGCGCATCAAAGAAGAACCACCTACCTGGGTGGTTCAATTGAATGAGCCGCGGCAAATGCGGCCGTGGGATTGCTGGCACGTCTTTTCGCCAGCGCATCCCCTGCCCCCTGCCGTACTGTGCATGCTCGAGCATGCGCAGTTCGGCAGCCTCCCCCTCTCACTTGTCTCTTCCTCCCCGGCATCTGATCGTGCCGGGGAGCGATGCGCCGCGGCTGAGGGGATCCGTGGGATCCCGCCGCAGCGTCTCAAGTTTGGTGCGGCTCTGATTAGCCACGTTTCAGCCGTCCCGTGTGGCAGGGACCATGGCTCACTTCTTCAGATATCGAATAGTATGATGTAGTGGTTAAAGTGTGAGACTAGGATTTGGAAAATTGAGGTTTGAATCCCCACTGGTGCCATGGAAGCTCGCCGGGTGGACCTCGGGCCAGGCAGGCACGCTCTCTCAGCCTAACCTACCTCACAGGGTTGTTGTGAGGATAAAATAGAGGAGAAGAGAATGATGTAAGCTGCTTTGGGTCCCCCAGCGGGGAGAAATGCAAGGTATAAATGAAGCAAACAAACAAACAATGTAGCTCTTCAGTGTCAGTATTCTATTTCACTTTCTGTCCTACCTTTACCGATACACTCCTCAGCTTTGATGCCATTGGGCACCCTTTCAACCCGCACGTGTTCATTTGAATTAAGCCAAGCCAAACCCAAACCCGTTGCGATTACCATTTGTAATGGGGGGAACTTTGGGCCTTTTATCAATGGAGATGCTGACGACGATGCAGGACAATTGCTGTTTGCCTAAAGCCAGTGGCTGGTTGCTCCCCTAATGCTGTACAACATTACCCACATACATTAATGTGATGTGTTTCAAGGCATTTCCTCCATTTCTCAGTTTCTTATCTTAAAGGTAGAGGTTCCCTTGCTCGAAAGCCAGTTGAGTCCGACTCTAGGGTTGCGGTGCTCATCTCTGTTTCAAAGCCGAAGAGCCAGCGCTGTCCGAAGATATTTTCCGTGGTCATGTGGCCGGCATGACTAAACACCAAGGCGCACGGAACGCTGTTACCTTCCCACCGAAGTGGTCCCTATTTATCTACTTGCAATTTCTTGCTTTCGAACTGCTAGGTTGGCAGGAGCTGGAACTAGAGACGGGAGCTCACTCCGTCATGCGTCAACTCGGGTCTTGAACTGCTGAAGTACTGACCTTCCACAGCCTGCAGTTCAGCGTCTTAACCACTTGAGCTCTAGATAAAATGTTGAAAAAAGAGTACCTATTGTACATTTGACAGGCGGCACAGAGTGCGCTCATATTTGAAGCAAATCAATAAATACATTTTGCACTGCACAGTATGAAGTTCTTGCGATCGTTTCCCAAGTCGGTTGCTTTCAGTCCTTTCCCTACATTTCTGCAAAATTTCAGGACTCGTCGGTGTATTATTCTTCATTAAACTGCTCGGACTCAAGTTCTAGCCGAGCGCGTGTTTGTCTTAGGCAGTGGATGTGACACAGAAGGAGAGCGAGTGAGAATGAATATATTTCATTTCTTTCGTGATGGCACTGGCTGAAGAGTTATGCGCAGCTCATGAGCTGCAATGCGTCTGCCCATGCATAGGATCTTGTTGATTTCTTAGACCAGCCTTTGCGTTCTGCATTGTGGTACCTTAACTTATACCAACAGTATTGCCAGCAAATGCCTGCCTAATCTTTCCCTCAAAATGTTTCATGCTGTAATCAAGCATCTGAGTCCATTTTAAGTTACGGAGTTTATTGTAAAGCTTAAACAGGCACAATAACTGCTGCTTCCCACAGTAAGCCACTGTAAGCAAAGGCCAAATCTCCTCCCGTCTATTTTGTGTTTCCTGTCCTTCCATATTACTACTCCTAGCAGGAAGTGCTTCCAACTCTGATGTTTAGGGTGGTTGTTAGGATGAACACTTCTGTACACAGCCTGGAATGTTGGTTTGCCTTGAGCACCTGGAATGACTCTTGTAATTCAGATTATTATCCTAATGTTTTATATACATCTCATTTAGCATAATTTAAAGCAACATTTGTGGGGTCACTCGTTGGGGTGTGGGGTGCAGGGGTGCATGCGATGCAAAGACGACAGGACACAAGTCTGCAGGAAGCTGATCTGAAACCTCTCGGTTTCCCAGCATTTATTTATAAGCTCAGTTTTCCCCCATTTCCCTCCCCCTCCTTTCTCTCCCTCCTTCTCTCTGCGTAGAGGAAAGTTTCAAGCATTTGAGCATCCTTTTGGAATGTGTGTGTGTGTGTGTGTGTGTGTGTGTGTGTAAGCTCTCTGTTATCTACCAAGGTCACACTGACTGCGTCATTAAGCAGTACCTCATGCTCTTAGCACACAAATACTTTCGGGTTTCCAATCTCCAGGCAGGAGAATCCATTTGCACTGCCCTACAAACATTTTTCAATCTTTCTATATTAATCTCTATAGATGAGTGGATTTCCCCAGTTCTGTTTGGGTTGTGTTCTATTGCTAGGTTACTCTCTGGGTTCTGCTCGAGTCATCTGCACTGAATTTGGTGTTTTTTTCCATTCAGTACTCAGTAGTATGAGCGTAGTCCCAGAAGTGTGGCACCACCATAGAAAAGGATGTCTTCAGTTGCCACCTGTGTAACCTCAGAAGGTAGGCCACCTGAGGTGAAGAAGAAGAAGAAGATATTAGATTTATACCCCGCCCTTCACTACCTGAAGGAGTCTCAGAGCAACTTCCAATCCCTTTCCCTTCCCCACCCCACAACAGGCACCCTGTGAGGTAGGTGGTGCTGAGAGAGCTCTTTCGAGAACTGCTCATGAGAGAACAGTTGTGAGAGAACTGTGACTGACCCAAGGTCACACCAGCAGCTGCACGTGGAGGAGTGGGGAATCAAACCCAGTTTTCCCAGATTAGAGTCCATGCTCCTAATCACTACACCAAACTGACTCTCAAGGACAGGTTGGCCTTCAAGGTCTTCAAGTGAGGTCTTCAAGAGAGCGGACAGGATTCTCTGTGAGGATCTTCAGATACCCCAGGGCACAGCCATTCAGGGTTTTCGAGCTCAAACCAGCACTTTGATTTGCAGCCTTAACAAAGCGGAAGCCACTACGGTAGGGTACACATTTCACCACAAGTGAAATATGCATAACAGGCCAGGGGCCACATCTTGACTTAACTGAAACTTCTACGCAATCTTCAAGAGCAGTGCAATGCACACTGTATTACAGTAGCCAGCACAAATCAAATGATGCTGTTTTCAGCTGGTATAAATTTTGAGAAAATGCTGAAAAGAGCACTGCACCACATATTGAACTGTCTCCCATCTGGTTTCTAGATGAAGAAAGTGAAGCTTGCCCTGGCTCTCTCAGAACTTGTGATTTATGCCAAATCTCGGAAATTTGTCAGCTTTGAAGACTCAAGAGAGAAGCAGAAGTTTTATGAAAATCACTCCATGAGTGAGGGGAAAGCACGAAAGGCGGCAAAAACACAAGGTAATGCTTGACTTTCTCCTGGACAGAGCTGATCTCACTGCTTTCCCCTCTCTGTTTAAGCCATCAGAACCATCAAAACAATTGATGGCACCAGCCTGTCCTCGGACTAGGGTTGCCAACCTCCCGGTGGGCCCTGGAAAACCCCTGGAATTACAGTTGATCTCCAGATGAGCGAGTAGTTCCCCTGGAGAAAATAGCTGCTTGGGAACATGGACTCTGTTGCATTATACGCCACAGAAGTCCTTCCCCAGCCCAAATCTCGCCCACCCCAGGCTCCACCCCCAAATCTCCAGGCCTTTCCCAGCCCAGAGTTGGCAACCCCACCTTGGACCAGGCATTGCATGCTGGGATGTGCTTCCGGCACAGATTCCACATTTACCATGAGTGTCATCGCTCCCATGTCACTCTGTCTATTTATTTAGCTGCTTATGTACATTCTACTGAAAAAAAGGAGCGAACGAAGGGGGAAAAGTAAATCAATGGAAACTTGCGCTTCTCAGCACTAGTACTGATGCCGCTGTATGGTGTTACCCGAACCGGACCGGAACCGGTTCTGGGAGCCCAGCTCGACTCTGAGTACGGAGGCGAGCGGTGCGTGAGTTCAAAACCCGTGTATCCAGAGGTCGGATCGGCGCGTGCTGAAAGCCCGCTATTTCCCAGGAAGACAGACAACAGCTAGGGTTAAAATCAAGTTGTCTTTACTAAAGCAATTGTTCAGACATACCAAAAACAGATGCGTACAAATTCACACAAGCTCCTTAGTTACAATAGGGTAAGAAAACAATAAGCATGAAAAACAACAAAAGCATCAAACAAGGGGGATGACTCTGAGGTATACGATCATACTCATCTGAGATCCAACTGAGAGAAGAAATCTCCTCTTTCCAAGAAGGGCAGCCAAGGCAACAGCTGGTGGACTCTAGACACACGACGGCTGGGCCAGCCACAGCCACGTGTGCGCTCCCTGGTCGCGACTCCGGGGAACTTAAGAGTTACCTGCAGCACCTTAGTGCAGACTAGGGGCAAGGGTGAGCTAGCTGGAGAACAAAGGCTTGCTTCTCCTTTTAAGAGCTGCCTTTTGGGGCAGTCTCTATCATAAAACTTGGGGTACGTCCTCTACTCCTAAGCTATAGGTTGGGCAGGGGGTGACGTCCTACAAGAGGGGCAGTGGATAATATGCAGATTCTTCTATCCTACATCAAAGCGGGGCCATTTGGTGATGGTTGCACCTCCGTTTCCCCGGCAACTTCTTTGCTGCGCCAGATGTTGGGTACCCAAGCCATAAAGGATGTTGTCTTTTCGATGCCAAGCCAGATAACGAGGTGGAATTGTACTCCTTCCCACCGTCCATCACTGCTGGTCAGATCTGTTGCTCATCCAAGCGTCTCTCTGTGTACCCCAAATGGTGACCTCGTTGGTACTGAGGCACATTGCAACATTCCAGAGCAGGCATCTGCTTTTGACCAGGGTGCAGTGGAAATTTCCATGGCAGGCAAAATACTTGGTGGCAGGCATCCCTGTCAGGCCCCCACTGTGGGCAACCTCGGGGTGCAAGGCCTGCCATTGCAGTCCATAGCAACACACACATACACACACATAGCAATGAGCCTCAGGCTCTCAAAGGCACAGATACTTATACATGTAAGCAACATATCATAAGCACAATACAGGCAATATGCAAATGCAAATGGTCACATGGTAACAATGGATTGATGCCTTGTGCCCAGTTGGCACGAAACCAGAAGTAAGGTTTATAGACAGGGTTCCCATTTGTCCAAATATGGCAGGAAACCTTCAGGTCAATTTGGCTCTTGCTGATGCTTATCTGATTGGTAGGTGGAAACTCTGACATAATGTGGGGAGACAATCATTCCTGAACTCCGGAGTCCCTAATGGAGGCTGGTAACCTGGCAACCAGCAGGAGGGTTGTGGGAAGGGACGTCATCCTGGAGGGAAAAACTAAAAAGAAAAAGAGGCTCTGGAAACTGCAGTAACTCTATGGCAATTGTACCATAGAGTTTCTAGCGATTCCTAGAGCTGCCCTTGTCCCTTCTAGGTAGCTAAAGGATTTGCCAGGAACTCTATGGTCAAAACTTTCTGTAAGTAGTTGAGGCCTTATTTTTCTGAAATGTTCTCCAGGGACATTGTCCCCACCACCAACCTCCCACCGGTTGCCAAGTTGCCAATCTCCCTTTGGAGATCTGGAATTCTCGTAGAATGACAACTGATCTCCAGACTGCAAAGATCAGTTTTCCAGGAGGAAACGGCAGCTTTCGAGGGAAAGTCTACGGCATCACATCCCTGCTGAGCTCCGTCCCCAACACCACACTCTTCAGGCACCACCTCCAAATCTCCAGGCATTTCCCAAACTGGAGTTGGCACCCCTAGGAGGGTGCCTTTGGTTTTGTTTGTTTTTTTAAAGCTGGAGGTCCTAACTCAGGCTAACCTAGGGATTTTCAGGACCTGATGAGCTCTGTATGCCCTCCCACTCCTATGAGTCTCTTCCCCATCTCTCTCTTACCTTCTTCCCCCAATCCTCCGTACAGTTTTAAACTGGCTTTGAGAACTCACTTTCATTCAGGGCTCTCAAAATGACCTAAGGATCTGAAAAGTACGCAGACGGAGAGTGATTTCAGCAAAGCGTACTTTATTCGATCAGGAACAAGACGACTTTGGCCGGCTTGCAGGCCGGTTTATATTCCCCAAGAAACCGCCACCCAAAACACCCCCCCACTTCCCAATAGGTTATTTACAGCGGCCGAGAGTCCCATCGGCACTCGGCCAGGAACCTAGCCCCCTGATTGGAGCGGGCTAGGATCCGCATAGTCCATTGTCTCTTGGACGAAGCTCGACGTTTGTCTCTGGACTTGTCTGGACATGTCTGGACTTGTCAGGACTTGATACACCACAGGATCGAAGCCAGGTCCATTTTAACCAAGATTAGCAACGGACACACGCAGCAACAAACGAGAGGAGTGTGTGCAAGTTTGTGCGTGTGGGCTGGATTTGTGTGTGGGAGAGGATTGCCAGCTCTGAGTTGGGAAACTCTTGGAGCTCTGAGATTGGATTCTGTGGAGGGCGGGGCTTGGGCATGGGAGGGACCTCAGTGGGATACAAGGCCATGGAGTTCAATGTCCAAAGCAGCCTCTTTTCTCAGGGAAGCTGATTTTTGTAGCCTACTGATCAGTTGTGATTATGGGATATCTCCAGGCCCCTAGAGGCTGGCAACCCTGGTGCAGGGTTGACAGGTCCCCCCCCCGGTCACCAGCAGAGGGTGGGGGGGTTAGGGTTGCCAGATCCAGGTTGGGAAGCTCCTGGAGATCTGGGGATGGAGCCTGGGGAGGACAGGGACCTCAGTGGGGCACAGTACCACAGAGTCCTCCCTCCAAAGCATCCGTGTTCTCCAGGAGAACTGTAGTCTGGAGACGAGCCGTAATTCAGGAGGATCCCCAGGTCCCACCTGGAGGCTGGCGCCAATGTTCCCTCTAAGCTGTTGAGTCTTGTGAGCAAAAATTCCACTTTGTGAGCTACCGGCATTAAAGTTGTGAGCAAGCGATTTGGCTACTGCATCAATTAGTTTGCTCTGGAACCGTCCTTCCTGAGCTAAGACAAAAATCTGTGAGCCGGAGGCTAAAAAACCGCGAGCCAGCTCACACTAACTCAGCTTAGAGGGAACACTGGCTGGCACCCCTACCCTAGTGTGAGAAGGCATGGGTACAGGGAGAGAACATTTAGGATTTTCTCTCTACTTTTTTTTTTGGAATCCTACTTCCACAATTATGGAAACCCAACCTCCAGAAATCGGAAAGTTATTAAGTAAGGCATTTTTTTTTAATACAGCCAAGTTTATGCTCTAATAGGCTGATCACTGGGCCAAATTATTTCCATGTCATGCACATCCATCTACCAGAAATTCCTAACTAGTGCAAAATATCAACAATTTGGAAGCATCTGCCTACTGAGGTAAAACACATACTTGAGAGAAATGGGATGTATTCACTTTTTAGTAGGAAATAGCTTTTTAGTAAAGACAGCTAGGTGTAGTGGTTAAGAACGGCATGTTGTAGTAGTTAAGAGCGGCAGACTGTAATCTGGAGAACCGGGTTTGATTCCCCACTCCTCCACATGAAGCCTGCTGGGTGACCTTGGGCCAGTCACGGTTCTCTCAGGACTCTCTCAGCCCCACCTACCTCACAAGGTGCCTGTTGTGGTGAGAGCTAGCATGGTATAGTGGTTAAGAGTGGCGGAAACTAATCTGGACAACCAGCTTTGATTCCCCACTTCTCCACATGCAACGAGCAGGGTGACCTTGGGCCAGTCATAGTGCTCTCAAAACTCTCAGCACCCACCTACTTCTCAAGGTGCCTCTTGAGGGGTGAGGGAGGGAAAGGTGATTATAAACTACTTTGAGATTCCTTAAAGTAGAGTAAAGCCAGGTATAAAAACCTACTCTTCGTATCATGGATTTGAATATGCTTCATTGTATTAAATTAACTTGTCTACAAATTTGTACTTAATTTGGGAAGGAAGGTCTGTAGAAATACTTGTGGAATTTGTCAGAAGTGCACATCAGAATATTTTATTATACACATAAATCAAGATTAAACTGGTAAAAGTACAAAATCATAGCTTTTACATCAGTTGGGCTATTTTCCAAGCCACTATTTATAACGTGCCTATGAAAATGTCTCTTGGCAGCTACTGAATTTGTCCAACACAACGTCAGATTTATTACAAGGATATACCCCAAAGGGACACGGGCAAACTCCTCCAATTACAATCCTCAAGAATTCTGGAATGTCGGGTGCCAGCTAGGTAGGTGAGGTGATTAAAGTTCAGAAGCATATATGTATTTTTGAGATGTAATTTAATATTTTGGTTAACTTACTCCATTGCCCTTTACATTTAGTGAAATAAGTTTTTAGTAGGTCCAATGGGGTCCTTCCAAACTCTGTTATTGAGTACATAATGGTGCAAAAACTTGAGCTAAACTCCCATTGAAGTCAAGGGGATGTAAGTAGACTTACATTGATGTAGATTTCTGGACAATTCGTGTTTTGTCTCCGGGGTTGCCATCTAGGGTTGCCTTTTGCTGGCGGGGGGGGGGGGGGGGTTTTCTTTTTGGGGGGGGGGGGGGGGGGGATCTTCTCTCTTGGGATCTTCTGGCACAAGCCGTGACAAAATCACCTGGAAGTGATGTCATCATGCAAGGCATATCGCCAGGGGGACTCTCTAGCATTCGGCTAAAAACTCTATGGTATCATAGAGTTTCCCTGCCGAATGCTAGAACGTCCCCCCCAGTGACATGCTCTGCATTATTACATCACCTCCAGCTGGATCCAGGCCAGTGGACTGGGGACCCCTAAAGCGGGCACCCCCCGCCCCCGTGGGGGGTCTGGCAACACTATTGCCATCTCTGGATTGTGAAATGCTTGAAGATTTGGGGGGCAGGCTAGGAAGGACAGGGTTTGGGGAGGGGAGGGACCTCAGGGGGGTACAATGCCATTGAGTCCATTCTCCAAGTCAGCCATTTTTTTCCCAGAGGAACTGATCTCTGTTGTCTGGAGATCAGTCGTGATTCCAGGAGATGTCCAGGCCTGACCTGGAGCTTGGCAACCCATTGTCTGCCAAACCCTTACAGAGTTCAAAAGGAACCATCAGAAAACGATCTATTATGTTTTTTCACCACCTTTTCTCCAAGAAGCTCAGACCTGTGTCGATGGTACTCCCCTCCCCTGTTGATCCTCACAACAACCCTGTGAGGTAGGCTGGGCTGAGAGAGCAACTAACCCAAAGGCCTCTGGGGAGCTTCATGGTTGAGTAAGAGGGATTTTTGATTGGGTTGAGTCCTTGTACAGTCAATGGGCTTAGAAGGGCATAGGGCAGGGGTGGCCAAGCTTGGTTAATGTAAGAGCCACGTAGAATAAAGGTCAGATGTTTGAGAGTCGTAAGGCATGAACAAATATCACACACGTGTTTTTATTGAAAAATAAGCAAATTTGCTTTTTATTAACATTAAATGAGATGGCCAAAAACAAAACAAAAAACACAAAAGGGGTAAAAATAGATGTTGATAATGATATTTATTTGTCCAATGATATTTATTTGTTTGCTAATGATATTTCTTTAAGAGACAGAGAAAGATAGAGGTGGAAAGAAAGAATGAAAGAGGTGGAAAGAAAGAGAGAGAGAAACAAAGAAAGCAAATAGATGGGTGAAGGGAGGGAGGGGGAAGGAAGGAAGGAAGAGAGAGAGAGAGAAAGAAAGACAGGAAGAAAGGGAGAAAGAGCAGAGAAAGAAAGCAACTTTAACTTTAAATGCATCCTCCAAGCATGTCCCCATGCTGGCTGGCTTGGCTTGGCGAATGGATTTAAAGAGACAAATGCCTCTCCAAGCCAGCCGGCAGGGGAGGGGCTTTGAGATCACATTTAAAGTTAAAGTTGCTTTCTTTCTCTGCTCCCCCCCCACACTCCAAGCCTACCCAGGGAGGGGAAAACTGGCTGGGGAAAGGAAGACCAATTAGTGAGGCATGCCTCCCCTTCACTTCCCCAGCCACCCTGCGAGGAGCTGCAGAATATGTGTGAAAGAGTCACATGTGGCTCCTGAGCCACAGTGTGGCCACCCCTGGTGTAGGGTTACCCTGTGAGTCTCCTACCGCTCAGACCCTTTACGTGCTTACTTACTATTTATTATTTACTTATTATTTATTAAATTACATTTCTAGACCACCCTCCCCTGTAAAACAGGGCTCAGGGTGGTGTTCAACAGTAAAAGGCATTCATAATTTAAATGAACAGATTAAAACTGTAAAAAAATACACGTTAACCTGATTAGATCGGGCAAGGAAACTTCAGATTGCGCCACTGTCTGGTGGTGGTGGGGAGGTAAGAAAATGGGAGTGCTGGACAGATGGAAATCGTCACTGCCCTCAACCAAATGCCCGGCGGAGCATCTCTGCCTTACAGGCCCTGAGGAACTGCATCAAGTCCCACAGGGCACAGATGTTACTTGGCAGAGAGTTCCACCAGGTTGGAGCCAGGGCCAAAAAGGCCCTGGCTCTGGTTGAGGACAGCCAGATATCACCAGTGAGTTCTCATATGCAGAGCACAGTTGTCTTCGGGGGGGGGGGGAATACCAGAAGAGGTGGTCCCAAAGACATGTGGGTCCCAGACTGTTCAGGTCTACTTAGTGCTACTGTATTTACAGTGTTATCCTCAGCAGGTCTACTTGGAATCCTACTTAGGTCTACTTAATAGGTCTTACTCCCAGGAAGGTGTTCTTAGGACTGCACTGTGAGTGGGCCTTATTCAAAAGTAAGAGCGCTATAAGACTGTGGTTTTAGTTTTTGCGCTGTGGATTTAAAGTTTGCAAGTTTTATGCCACTGTATTATTGATTACGTTTTATTGCACGAGATCGATTTTTCAACGCTTTAATCTCTTCACCTCCTGAAAAACCTCGTTGAATGTAAAATGCATTGGATAAATAAACATTTTTTTTAAAAAAACTTATACACACACTTTTTGGATGCTACGTCCCTTGAACAATAATGCTTTTCTGACGTAATGAAACACATAGCGGAGAACCTTATATACTCAACGCAAAACTATTAGTATGCTGCCCACATACAACTGCAGTATAGTTGTGGAAACAAGCAGGTTAGGATAGCCATGCAACTCTTTTTCTTTTATTTACGGAGCAGAATCGGGGAAAGCAGTGATTTATTTGCAAGGAGGGAATTCAAGGTGATTATTTAAATAGAATGTTATCATTTCCATTACATTTCTTGACACACTCCATTTAAAAAAACACACACATGGAAACAGGATTAGAGAATTCAGAAAGCTCTTGGAGATATTGCCGTAGCACTAGAGAAACAGGAACCCACTATAATAGCGCCAAATGACTTAATCAGGATTCATTCATATTAAGTAAATAGCTACAGTTTTGCTGTGCAAAGCAAAAGATCGATGCCCACGCCATCTAGAATGTTTTCAGACAGAATGGCAGCAAGGGCTCCTTGCGCACATGGAAATTCAGATGTGCACACAAATCTCCTGCGGTCAGGTTGCTGATCCTATCACATGAGACCTGCTGTAGCGACTTGCAGTGTAGATATATGAAGTCATGAAGCTCCCAATCAGTGTTCCCTCTAAGCTGAATTAGTGTGAGCTAGCTCACAGTTTTTTAGCCTCCAGCTCACACATTTTTGTCTTAGCTCAGGAAGGATGGCTCCAGAGCAAACTAATTTATGCAGTAGCCAAATTGCTTGCTCACAACCTTACTGCCAGTAGCTCACAGAGTAGAATTTTTGCTCACAAAACTCTGTAGCTTAGAGGGAGCATGGCTCCCAATTAACCTCAGTCAACCACAGCCTCCTGTACACCCTATCCCATCTCCAAAGCGACTTCTTTCTAAGCACAGCTATGCAAGTTCGTCAAGGGGAGGTTGAGGCTTAGAGGTAGAGCATCTGCTTGGCATGCAGACAGCTTCAGGTTCAATCCCTGGCACCTCCTGTTAAAACGATCAGGGAGTTGGTGGTATGAAAGACCTCTGCCTGAGACCCTGGAGATCTGCCACCACTCTGAGTAGACAACACTGACCTTCATGGACTGATGGTCTGTGATTCAGTGTAAGTTAGCTTCATGGGTTCACAGACATCAAACCTAGGTTTGTCCCTCAAACTGGCATCTCTGGTTAAACGGATGAGGGAGCAGGTGGTGTGAAAGACCTCTGTCTGAGATCCTGGAGGTCCATCACCAGTCTGAGTAGGGGGAAGTAACCATGTCCTGCCGGAATTCCTTTTGCTGTGAGGAACCAAGGAAGTTCGTAGCCACGCGTGTATGTTAGAGTTCAGTAGGGCAGACTTTAATAAACTCTGAGGCATGATGAGAATCATTTCATGGGCATGACGACTGGAAGAGAAAGGAGCAAGTGAAGGGTGGGCTCTCCTAAAACAAGAGCTCTTGCAAGCTCAAGCCATCTCAGTAAGTAGGAAACATGGTAGGGAATCCAAGAAGCCAATGTGAATGAACAGAGAACACCATGATGTGCTAAGCGAGAAAAAGGAAATGTTCAAGAAATGGAGGCGAGGAGATATCTCTACAGAAGAGCATCTGCGTGTTGCTAGGCACAGTAGGTCAGCCATCAGAGAGGCCAAAGCTCATAGTGAGCTAAAACTGGCCAGGGAGGCTCACTACAACAAGAAAATCTTCTTCAGATATGTGAGGAGTAAACACAAGATAAAAGAAGTGATGCGCCCACTGTTGGGTGAAAAATGGAGAAACTCTGACAGAGGACAGAGAGAAAGCAGAAAGGCCCCATTGCTGGACCTCCTGATGGCACCAGTATTTTGGCCACTGTGTGACAGAGTGTTGGACTGGATGGGCCATTGGCCCGATCCAACATTGGCTTCTCTTATGTTCTTATGAGTAATGCCTATTTTGACTCAGTTTTTCCCCTGAAGAAGAGAACAGGCTCATCTAGAGATGGTAGTAGGCAAGTCACAGCATCTGGGCTGTTGGTTGACATGGACAGAGAGGTAATTGAGAAGCACCTGGCTGAGTACATATCCCCAGGGCCAGATGGTGTGCACCCAAGAGTGCTCAAAGAACTTTCTAGAGAACTTGCAGAACCTTTGTCCATCATCTTCAAGACCTCTTGGTGGATGGGAGACGTGGCACGAGACTGGAGGAGGGCAGATGTTATCCCAATTTTCAAAAATGGAAGGAGGGATGACCCAGGAAACTATGGGCCAGTCCTAGGGACGATACTGGAACAGTTTTTAAAGGGATCAACCTGCGAGCATCTAAAGGAC